GCCCGTTCTCCGGCCCATCTGTCCACTCCCGGCGCAGACGGCCTAGCGTGCCGAGCCCCGGGGCGTTCCAGCGCGAAGAAGGAAACCTGGACCCAGTTCAACAATCGTCATTTTAATGATAACGCCAACGAGGGGGGGCAGAGGGGGCTTTGTTTCCCCCTGCAAAATCCACGAGTCACAGCCACGGCTCTTCACAAACAATAAGGGAGGGCCTTAAAAAAGAGGGTGCGGGGGGGGGAGGGATATACACATTCATTTCAACAGAAGTCGCATAGAATAGAGGTTTATTTTATTTTATAAATAGTCCACGCTCCCGGGGCCGTGTCCATCCCAGCCCCCTCTCCCCCCCAACCCCCCCACAGGCAACGACTGGTTTATTGAGGGGGGAGTCTCTTCTCTCCAGTCCAGACCCTCCCCCTTTTTTTGATGGACACCCCAAAACCAAACAAACAAACAAAAAAAATCAACTTTGTCCCATGATCAAGGCCACTCGGGTAACGAGTTCTCTGTTCTCAGCTGCCAACCATGCAGTTGGCGAGAGAGACGGGGGATGGAGGAGCTGGAGCTGGTGCCCACTCCCCGCGGGGGTCTCAGCTGCACGGAGAAGGGGGTGTCGGATGCGGCGGCTGCATGGGGAGGGGGAGAGGGGAACAGATGCTTGGGCACACAGAGCAAACAGAAGCGAAGGATGCAGGCGGCGGCAGGGTTTCCACGCAACGGGGACCTGGGCAGGCCGAGGGGGTTATGCCAGCCCCTTGGAGCCAGACAGGGGGGTCCTTTAAGACTCAGCACCCCTCCTCTCCAGCATCAGTTCTGCTCCCCGGAGGCCGTGCCCCAGGCACTGTCCGGCTGTGAGTCCTCCAACCGCCGGCCAGGGCATCACTGTGTCCCCTCCTGCCCCAGGCCGGAGGGAACGGGTATCAAGAAGGGGCCGGGGCTCCCCCTCACTGCATGGGGATGTACGGCCAGTTGAAGCTGGAGCCGGAGAGCAGCATGTCCCGGATGAGGGTCTCGATGGGGGTCTTGCCCACGAGGCGGACAAAGAAGAGCTGCTCGATGACAGGAGCCGAGACGATGCGCAGGGAGGGCAGGCGCAGCAGCAGGCGGCCGAAGCGGCTGGGCTGGCTCGGGTACTGGATGCGGACGTACTCCTCCAGCGCGCACTGCGACTTCTCCTGGACGCTCTCCACGTGGCCCAGGTCTGACAGCCCCATGGCGTCTGCGGGGACAGCACAGCAGAGCGGGGTGAGGGGACGCGACCTTGTGCAGGGGGATCTCTGGGGCTGCACGAGGAGATGGGAGACTGTCCCCAAAGACCCCCCCAGCTACAAAATCGTGTTCCTGCCTGGCACCAGGAAGAGGACCCAGGAGTCCTGCCTCTCCTCTAACCGCTGCACTGTGCTCCCTCCTGGCACCAGGAAGAGGACCCAGGAGTCCTGCCGGTACCTCTCACCCTCCTTCCCCAGCCACTGACCCACGTGCAGGGTGGTAGGAAAAGACCGCAGGAGTCCTGCCTCTCTACTCTAACCACTGGACTGTACTCTTGCCTGGTGCCAGAAAAAGACCCCGAGAGTCCCGACTCCCCCTGCCCTGCTCCCTCATCCTTCTCTAGCCACTGAACCATGTGCTGGTTTACTGTGAAAATGTACCCGGGAGTCCTGACTCCCTGCTCTAACCATTGGATCACACTCCTTACCTGGTACTAGAAGAACCCAGTTGTCCTGGCTCCCAGCCTCCCACCCTGACTATACACTGGGTGCTAGCAACAGAGCCCAGGTGTCCTGGCTCCTCTGCCTCCCTATTTCAGCTTCCTTTTGATCGGGGAAGAGGTTTGCTTCATGCCAGGCACAGTCGCTCCTGACCTCGGCCACCTCTGTGCCCCGCAGGGTCATTTGGCCTTTCCATGGGAGTCTGCCCTGCTGCTCGAGCTGCAGCTGGATAACCCTCCCCAGCCATGGCTGCAGCCCTAGGTCCCCACAGCATCCACCAGGGCTGGGGCGCATCCCCGGATGAGGTTTCTCCTGCGTTGTTCTGGGGGAACTGGACGTTTTGGCCTGTTTCTTTTCCAGGAGGTCCCCCCAAAGTCAGCTGAGCTAAGAAATCCCTGTTTCGAACCTGACTGCATCTCACCCCTCTGTTTCTCTGCAGCTGGCTACATGGGGGGCTGCTCTCCCCCTGCACTTCTGCAGGGGCTTCCTGTGCTGAGGCCACCCCACCACCTTCCACCCTAGCAGTGGCCAACATTTGGCTGGCTGATCCAAGAGGGCTGTTACACCGACACCAACAAGGCAGGGTTGTTACACCAACACTTAGCCCCAGGCTCAAAGAATGGGCCTGGTGTGGCTGGCTCCTATGCCCATACAGCAGGCCGGGCCACCGAGGGGCCTGGGCCAGGGCAAGGAGAATCGGCCCCGTTCTCTCTATTTCAACTCATTCCTACAGGTTCTCCTGCAGGAAATCGGACCCCGCTCTGCAGGACTTTGCCAATTAAACAAACTGGAGCAAGAACAAGGAAGGGGAACTGGAGCATGGGGCAGTGCCTTGGGTGCTCCGCATGCGGGAGCCGGGCTCCCTAGCACCAGGCGCTGTACGGGGCAGCTCTGGAGGACTCCCAGCCACGGGGGATGGCAGCGCAGCTCAATGAAGGCTTGGTTGCAGTCATGTCCAGGATGTCCCCAGACGTCCCCTCTTATAAGACCAGATCTGCCCTTCCCTGTCCGGCTCCTTCCAGCACTTCCCCGTTCCCAGGATCTTTCTGTGCCTTCATGACGTCTTTGGGAGGTGTCTTTGCTCCCCTGGGGCAGCCACCGCCGGGTCCCTAAATGCTCTGAGCCTGCCCCTCCTCCAGCTGCGAGCCAGGCTTAAAACCCCTGGGATTCAAAAATAATAATACCATATTTTCCTGCCTACAATGTGCTCTGGAATAAGGCACGGACCTGGTTTTTGAAAGGCAGCACGAAGACGATCTCTCTCCTTGTAGTAACTGAGGAGCAGCAGCCAGGGAGCCCAGCCTGCCTCATGTTTGGGTCCCCGTGACCAAAACATGGGGCTCTTCCCCAATCCTGTGCTCTCCCCCAGCCAAAGCTGAAGTGGCAGAAATTGCCTTCACCGTATTTACCAGCCTATAATGCGCAGCCCAGTTTATAGCAGCTGGGTTGGGGGTGGGGGAGTGCATGCTATATGTGAGAGAGTACGGTAATAATACAATTGGGGTTCCTGCTCCTTTGCCTTCTAGATTTGGAGCTGGCATGGGATGGCCACGTACTGCAAAGGCCTGAGGGGGCCTAAAAACCAGGACGCCTGGGTTCTGATCCCACATTCTCCTGGACTAATAGAAATCATTCTCCCCTGCTGTGCCTCAGTTTCCCTGCATTTAAAGGTGAGGCCAACATGCAATTGGCCCCTTTTACACCCAAATTGTGGGAGTCAAGCACTGCAGGTGACATATTAGTCCCCGCAGGTCTCTCTGCTCTTTACCCAGGGGTCCTGGGGCTGGGGGGTGTCTGGGCTCTGCTCAGACAAGCTGCTTTGTAGCCACGATGTTGGGGATGAATCATGAGATCCTGTTGGAGAATAGGACCAGAACAGCCCTATCAGTCATTCGGCCAGGCCTGGCCTCTCCTGACCCGTGCCAGCTTCCTGTCCCTAATCGGAGCAGGGGACTTCGACCTGAACAGAGGTTAAGGAGAGTGGCTCACAGGGGTACCCTAATACCCTGCCAAGTCTCTACCCACCTGCCCCATCGCACCAGACCCCTGCCAGCCAGAACAGCCCTGGGGCCCTTTCACTACAAATGGGTCTTTAATTAACACAAATGATGACCCAAGAAGCAGGGCGAGGGCTGGACGAGGCGCCTCCATGGCACTGTCTGCGGCCCATCTTGGTACCTACGTTCCCTAGCGCTCTCAGCCAGCAGTTTCCACCGAGAACAAAGCAGGCTGTGGGCATTTCCTGATGCCTAAGAGACTCCAGGTTTCTGAGACAGGGAAAGGATGAAAAGAAATTTTAATTTCAGGCCCAGACACTGCTCACAGCCCAATCCATGGAGATGAGGCTTTGAACTCTGCACTCTGGGCCTGCTTTGGTGGCTTTGGTTTTGCACTGTGGCTGTATAGCCCAGCGATGCTCAACCAGGGTGCCACGGGACCCTTGTAAGGGTGTCGCGCGCTGCTAGCACGGTGAGGTGTGCTAGCACCTACAACGAACCTCGAGACAACCCCAGAGATTTCTAGTAGGAATTCAGAGCGTCAAACCCTGCTCTGCTTTGCAACAGAGGAATCACTCTGTTATTCTTTGGGAGTCAAAAAACGAGTGGAAAACTAAGAGCTGGGATCTTCTGAGGCGGGATGTGGGTCTGAAAAAGCTGCGAGCTATCCATCTAGGGCGCTTGTACATGACAGAGACATGACACTGTCAACTAGCCTATGTATTCCTGAGTTCACCCTGTTAAAAAGGGCCAGAAATTAGCATACCATCAAGATGTCTTAAAACAATTAATTTGGGGTTCTTTATTTTCCCTGCCCTTTCGGCATCCTGTTTTCATAGATTTTTTTTCCTGGTGCCCAAAGAGCTAAGATTTAAAAAAAATAAGAATAAAAAGCTGCATTTCTAATGGTCTCCTTAAACAACCAGGGTCTGGAGGGTTAGGATAAATGACAGCAATGTTGAGAGCCGTCATCAAATCCCCAGATTTGCTCTGCTGTGCTGTTGTTTTAATTTGGGGATTGAACAGTTAAGACGGAAAAAGGAGCAGCTTCAGGAAAATCCAGTGCTGGGTGGAATATTTGCTGATACTTGATAAAATCCTCTTGTGAGACTAGAAATTTGAGGGGGGTAAGTGTGAACCAGCGATAGAGAAATTTTCATATTTTGTTTTTTGGGGGATTATTGCCAGTTTTACTAATAAGGCCTGTTCTGTGGCTGGACTGAAAATCTTGACAAGCAAAATGGCATAGAAGATGAAAGGTTAATTAGCTCCTTTTTTATATATAAAACTTTCTTCTGCCATTTGCCAGTTCAATGGGTCGGGATTTTCCAGCCGAAAGGATAAAAAACAACCAGTTCTGCCTCCTTCACCCCTTTCCCCCCCCAAAAAATATCATACATAATGACATTGTTCTTGAAAAGTACAAAACAAACGTCACTGGAAAGGACTAGCAACGTTTTTCTTGATGACCTCTTTTAGCCGGATTTGTATCGGGCTTTAACAAAATATGTTGATCATCTAGATCTGGGGGTTTCGTTTTATTCGTATTTTGATAAGTCTTTAATTTTTATTAAAATGCTTCTTCAAAATAAATTGAAAAAAAATGGACTTGATTTTAAATATCTGGGAAGAAAGCAATGGACTTGGAGTTTTCTGGTGATGCTGATATATTTTGTTTGCCTGGTCACGTCGAAGTGCCCTACCTTTATTGTGCAAAATCGACAATGCAGATTGTAGCAATGGTTTTGAGTTGGATTTGTAGCATTTTGAGGCTGGGGCTGTGAGCTTGCACTCAGGCGCTGGACAGACCCATGGTGAGAGAGAATCGTTGCCTCCAGGACCATATAGTCTTTTCACATGCAACTAACCTAGCAAAATGGCAATTTTTGGTGCCGTTTTGTAACGTGGATCTAAATAATACATATTGTGTACAAGAGCCCTCTATGAGCCACACAAGGCACCGGAGATTTGTTTTGGGTAACAACGAGTAAGTAGCAGAGCTGGGACATCTCGCTGGGTCTCCTGAGCTGTAACCCACTCCTTTACCCCACAGAAGGCTTGTGCCTCTCAGCAGTGATGTTACCTCCTTGGAGAAGCCAAGAGAAGGCTTGTCCACACTGGTAAATTATCCTGGTCTGATTACCCCACTATAGCCTTAATTTGATATAATTTGTGGCTCTTAATTTGTTTACAGGAATAGGCTCTATTTAATGTAGCCTAAATCCCCTCCGAAACATGCTGTTACAAAGGTTTACCGTATACAGCTCATACTATCTATATCTATAGCTATAACCCCTATATAGATGTAGCTATATAAGGTATATCTATAGATGTATCTATATAAGATATACCTATATCTGTGTTATCTATATAGATATACCATATACAGCTTGTACTATAAACATCTATATGTATATACCTTATATAGTTTTATCTATATAAGGTATATCTATATCTGTATTATCTATATAGATATACCCTATATAGCTTGTACTATATACATCTATATCTATATCAATATAGATATATATACAGTATGAACTGTATAAGGTAAACCTTTATAACCTATGTAAACCTTTATATATATATTTAAACACAGTGTAACTTTTCTGTGCAGAAGTCTTCATCATAGCCTACACTGAGATAAATTACTCAGTAAAGAGCGCAATTAGCAAGTTTGCCAATTTGTCTGATGTCTCGTACTCCTGCCTCTCTCTCAAGTGCGAAATGAAGTCTGATTCTCTTTTTCCCACCTGTGTGGTCAAGAGCTGAGGAAAGGGGCTGGGAGAATAATCTGTTTTTTTGTTTTATCGAACAAAACTAAAATAGCAAAAGTTTTTTTTTTTCCTCTTTCCTTTTCTTTTCAGATCACTTGGGAATAAAAACATTTCCATTTTCTGGATGAACTGAAAGAGAAAAGTCGATATGAATTGAATCAACACCCCCACAATATATAAATAAATGAATAAATAAATAAATGCTTTTGTTAATTTTTAATGGGCTTCCCCCTCCATTTTTTAACCTTATTTTTAAGATGAATGGTGAAGGTTTTCAGGTTTTTTTTAGTAAAAATGTTGTTTTTGAAGTAGCACAATCAAATGTGCCATTTAAAAATGCTGAAAAGAAGCCTTTGGGCTTTTGTGAAATTATTTTTTTCATCCAAAGGTAATTGATTAATAATGTTATCCTTCAAAACTATATACTTTTGGCAAATAAAATATTCACCTCTCTCTCATATAAATATATATTATCTATCTAGCTACACACACACACACACGTGTAGATTATATATATCTACATACATACACATACTAGATAGGTGGTATCTACATACACACACATATGCGTGTATAGATTATTATAATCTGTGTGTGTGTGTATGTAGATAGATTTTATATATATACACACACAGATAGATTATATTAATCTATCTACATACACGTGTGTATGTAGATATGTATAAAATCAGTCTATCTACACACACACACACAGATTATAATAATCTATACACACATATGTGTGTGTATGTAGATACCACCTATCTAGTATGTGTATGTATGTAGATATATATAATCTACACAGACACACACATACATATTTATATTACACACGCATACACACACACGCAGCTCTGTGAAAAAATTCCTTTAGCCTTGATGAGCTCAGGTATAATGAGTAACCCCTAAAACAAAGTGGTCTGTTTTTAACGGTGTTTTTGTTACATTTGTATGGCTTTTAATATTCCTATTCCTTTTAATAATACTTTGGCAATAGATAAATCTGGCAAGAAGTATGATGGGAGAAATCTACCTGACGGGGGCTGTGGATTTATACTTCTTTTAGTGCAGGGAATGTCACTTGCGAGAGTCCCTCTTTGAAGAGTCAAAGAGTATTTGTACACAGCACGTTTTTGGTGCTCAGATGGGTTAGAAATGTTTCCCTTGAAAGTCAGGCGTTTGATTAAGTGTGTGTGTGTGAAAATTCTGGCTACGGTAAAAACAGAATATGTGAGTAACTAAGAAGGTTTGTCTAAATGTTCTGATCTTCCACTAAAAACATCAAAACTTTGCAGAGAAACCCCCATAGTTTCCCTAATCGGCTCCAGCTGAAATGCCACTAAATTATCCAACCCCTGCAGAAACCCTTCATCCCCAATCACCACCACCTTTAAAACGCACAATCCAAGCACTGCTTCTTCTTCCAGATCAGTTTTCCCACTCACTGTGGGAAATGGAAGAGTCCTTCTGTTCAGAAATCGATTTTCCTGCCTTGTTCTTTCGCAGCCGGGGCTTGTTAACCTCCCATCAGACATGCCGCAGTGCCTGTTTTCCCCTAACCTGGCTCTATTCACTGATATTTTTGCAGGAAATCAGCAGTGTAGAGGGGTGATTCTTCAGCAGGCTAGTCCCATACACATGCCATAGGCCAGGATACCACCCAGACACAGGTACCTCTGCTGGCCTGTGCCCGTCTAAGCGAACACCACCGCTCTGACTACATCAAGTGAAACAATGGGATTAAAAAAACTCCCTCCCAGTGCTTTCTTTGAACACTTGATGAGGTGGGATGGGGACAGTTGCCTGTTTTTCAATGAAATAAAACAATTGGGGGGCGGGGGGTGTTCCTTGTATTTTCCCCCATCTCTACGAAACAAGGAATGGAGAGAATGAGAATTCTCCCAAATGAAAAATAAAAAGGATCAAATATTTTCCCTTCTTTTTTGATTTACTGGAAAATCAGGTGCCTTTTTGGAAATTGTGGGATGCAGTTTACAGTTAGGCATGTGAATGGATGCTTTAATGCCTTAAAGCGCTGGGCGATTCTCGGAGGGGCTCAGGGGGCCAGATAAGAGCTTGGGAAGACAGAGGATCCTCAACAGATCAACCCAGAGATCCACTGTAGCACTGGTGGTGCCCCTGGGATCCCTTCCAATGGGAAATGTCTCTACCTGTCTTGGCAAGGAGCGTGTTACCCACTCCCACCCCTTCAGGACTGTGGGGTCACTGGGATCAGAGGTCTCCAGGGTCTTTCGGGGATGTGGAATCGCTGGATCCCTGCTCTGTTCTGGAGCTGCTGAGGGGGGTGGGGAAGGCCAGGCTCCTTCCCCATCCCCTGACCCTCCTGACCTGCCCCACAGGACCCAGGAGCTTGGCCCGACCTCCCAGTGGCCTCAGGGCCAGGCTGGGCCATGGGGGTGGGGGGGGACACCTGCCTGTAGCTCTGCCCCCAGCCCCACCCCTTGGCATGATTCACCTGCACAGCAACGACCTCAACCAAGAGCCACCAATGAGAAACAGGCCTGCCTTAGCCCTGCCCCCGGCCTGACACACCTGGTATGAGGGAAGCAATGATTTCCACCAAGAGCCACCAATGAAAGAAAGACCCACGCTAGCTCTGCCCCTTGGCTTGACTCACTTGACGTGAGCAAAGCAATGACCTCAACCAAAAACCACCAATGAGGGACGGACCTACTTTAGCCCCACCCCCTGGCCCAACTCACTTGACATGAGCAAAGCAATGACCTCAAACAAAAGCCACCAATGACGGATGGACCTACTTTAGCCCCACCCCCCCAGTCCAACTAACTTGACATGAGCAAAACAATGACCTCAACCAAAAGCCACCAATGAGGGACAGCCCTGCTTTAGTCCCACTCCTCGGCCTGACTCACCTGCCCTACACAAAGCAATGGCCTCACCCAGGAGCCACCAATAAGGTGCAGGCCCACCCTCACTCTGCCCCCCACACCCCGCCTCACCTGGCGTGAAGAGGGCAATGGCCTTTAGGCAGGAGTACTCGGCAGAGTCGACGTGCAGGGCCTTGAGCTTCTCCACCTGCTCCTGGAAGACCCGGATGTGGTCCATGAAGGCCACCACCCGGTCGGCCGACATGGGTGAGGCATGGAGGCCGGCGGCTGCCAGGAGCGGGGCCACATGGAGGGGCATGGAGCACTGGGCGGCGTTGAGGACGAAAAGCTCGCTCCAGGTCATGCGCAGCAGGGACACCTGGTCGGCGAGCTGGAAGTCGGGGAAGAAGGGGATGTTCTTGGCCCACTCGATGGCGCTGAAGAGGAGGCGGGCAGCCAGCTCACAGATGTTCTCAATGCCCATGATGTTGTTGGGCTGCAGGCACTGGGCGCCGTAGCGGGAGGTGGGGTAGGGCTCAGCCCGCAGCAGCAGGGAGATGAAGCCCGTCAGGTAGGAGTGGCCATTGTAGGGGTCCCCGTTGTTCAGCGGGTACTGGCCAGGGCTGTTTTGTGTATGAGCCATGCGGCCCCGCTGTACGGCTGGTCCAGGGGGGAGAGGAGAGAGAGAGAGACACACACACACATAGGATCAGGCCAAAAGAAAGCATGGAGTCATGGGAGGGTGTGTGCGCTGGGGGCGGGGCTAAGGCAAGGCTGTCTCCCAATTGGTGGGCCCACCCAGGAGGTTGCCCCCTTATGGATGGAGCTGGGACTTCTACCTTAAGCGATGTCAGGCTCCAAGGGATGCTCTCGTGGCATCAGCCCTCCTACCAATGCACCTTTCTGACACCACCGGGGCCCCTCCAGAAAGAACTGGGCTGGGGAAGGATCAGCTCATTGGCATGCCTGGGTCTAGAAGAACTAAAGTCAAGAGAGACCGAGGTCCTTCATTTTAATATTGTGCTGGAGATGTGTAATGCAGAGAAACAGGACCCAGAGCTAAGAAGGACTTTTAAAGCATCGGGAAATTGTGCTTGTGCAAACAGGCATGCAGTTGCAGCGCATGACAGGGCAAAAAATGTGGCGTGTACATATGTTCCCAGCCTTCAGGAAAAGAAAGCATAGGAATGAGAGCAAGGGAAAGAAGAAACCAATGGGGCAGATGGATTGGTGACCACGGTGTGATGGCATTGGCACGATCAGGGCTCTGAGATTCTCCACCTCTAGGCAAAGCTGCCAGTAACCAATGGAGAGAGAGAGGGAATCGATGAAGAAACAGCCTCTGGAGAAAGTCATCCCACCCCCAGCCTCGGAAACACCTCATTCTAGAGACTTCTGCAGGGTGGAATATTTTTTGTGGACTAAAAACTAGTTTCTGTGGTGGTGAGAAATAGTAATTTCACGGTACCGTCTTGTTTTGCATAGTTGCATTCATTTCACCCAACTGCTTGTTTGCAGGTGGGGGGGGAAATGGGCACCCAGCGCAAAAGAAGGAGAAATCAAAGGTCTCGTTGCAGGGTTTTTTTAAACCAAAACGTTCCAGTCTTTCCATTCAAAGCAGCTTCTCTCCAAGAAACATCCTCAGGGAGGAGGGAAATGAAATCACTTAAAAATAAAAGTGCTAAATGCATGTAGAAAGATGGTTTGGGCAGGGCTGATCCTGCATTGGACTAGATAACCTGTGGAGATCCCTCCCAGCCCCACTGCTGTATGACTCTATGTCGGTCTGGATTCAATGAAACATTTTAGACTTAATCTAAAATGGGTTTTCTTTCTTCCCAATTTTTCAGTCGCCAAAAATACAGGAATGTTTCAGGGTTGGTTCAGCTGGAAACAAATGGAGTGGTTTTTTTTCCTCCCCATTTGTGTTTTATTTTGAATCACCAGCAAACTGACAAACCTGGCCCAGAAGCAGGGTAGAGACGCACCTTCTAGGCTAACTGAACAGGAGGTGGAGTTTTCATGAGCTCGATGTCGCTTCATCAGGTCGCTGCACCTAACAGGCCCTGGACACAGCTTCTCCTTTTCAAAGCTCAGAGCCTGCTCAGCTCCTGGGACCTTCTGGTATCACTGGATCCAGAACATAATGTTACTTAGAGAAGCCAATCTGTGCGGTCCAGTTAGAAATGGCCAGACTAGATTAGACCTAGCATCCCACCCCGAGCAATGGGCAGCTGCTATGTGTGATGCTGGCACTGAGCATCCATGGGCTAACTTCTTCCCAACAGTCATTCTCCTCCTGATCGCTCCCAGCCCTCCTGATCTGAGCTGTCTGGAGGGTTCAGTTTGCATTTCAGGACTTCTGTATTTGCTGGCAACTATTAGGCCTTGCAAGAAGCCACAGTGGGTTAGAAGCGGAGCCACGATGCCCTGATTCCCCATGGCCCCGGGACCTTTGCAGGTGATGGGGAGCAGACTCCACCCATCCTCGGTCCCCTCAAACCTGTGACATTAGAGTAAATGACTCCCCCTTCCCTTAAGGTGCTCTAACACACTGCTTCGGGGGTGGTTTGTGGGCCTGATCCTTTCTTTTGACCAAGAACGTTTTGCAAGGTCAAGGTCTCCCTGACATTACTGCTCATTGGACAGCCAGTGGGTAGGCTGAGTTTGCTGGGGGTCAGACTCTGGTCCAGATCCCAGTACAATTTGCCTACAGCCCCCAGCATGTAGGCAAATTGCTTGTGCATTGTGGGCACAGCATGGAGCCCCTGACCGTGGGAACTCATCCTGTGCCCACACCCAAAGCTGCAGTTCCCACAGAGCTGTCACTCCAGCCAGGAGCATTGGGGCACAGGTGCCCGGTGCTAGCCAGCCTGAGGGCATGTGCAGGGCAGTCTCTCCCCATCCAGTACAGGATTATCCACCCCGGTCTCCCCTGCCTTATACCCTTGTCTCTCCTGCTGCCCTGGGACCACATCTCAGCCCCGTGGCATCTCACTTGGGGTCTCTGCTGAGCTAAGGATTGGCTCCCCTTAGACACACAGGGTTGGACAGGTTTGGAGTGGGAAGGGGAAGGGACTTCAGGAGCTGGTTGGTTTCTTGGGAAGAGAGGAAAAAAAGGGGCCTAATCCAGTCCTCAGTCCCTGGAGCAAATCCCCATTAGCTGTGGATGGGTCTCTGGTCTCCTGAGCAGGGGCTGAAACCCTGGGGGCTTGCTCCATTCCTGCACCGGCAGCTCTCGGGGCCAGGCACTGACATGCGTTTGTCCAGAGCCCCAGATACAGCTGACCAGAAGCCATGCTGAGCTGGGGAGGGGATCTCAGGCACCCGGGGCTCAGTCTAGACACGGCTCCTTCCAATTCAGCTGTCACCTTGTACCCTGTAGTAAGGTTTGGTCCGTCCACCACATCCTCCACCCAAGCTGCTCTAAAGGCCCAAGACCCTCCATATCAGCAGGCCTTTGGACCTGGCCACAACTGACAAACATCCACCCAACGTCGTGGTGAAACAGGAGTGGGGTGACGGCACCATCCTCCAGCCCCCATATTCCAGGGGGCCAAGAAGGGGTTTTGTGGGCTCGATCCCACAGCCACGGCTTCTGCAAGCACGACCACAAGGCGTCTCACAGCCTTGCCAGAATCAAGGCCCCAGGACGTGACCTGTTCCCTGTCTACTTTCCTTCCCCCTCCCCTGCTCTGCTAAAATGCTTCCTCTCAGTCTGCCAGAGTTAGACAAATCAGCCAAGGCATTTCTGAGCTGGTGAGGCCAAAGGCTTGGGGCAGGACAGGGGTGGAGATTAGGGAGCGGGGGGAAAGCATGGGGGAAACAGATTTTTCAAAAGGATTCATCAGCTGGCAGCTCCTGCTGTTCTCCTCGAGAGGAAAACGCTCTGCAGAATTGGGCCGCTTGCTTTCAACGCCTAAAGGGGAGCCAAGAGGTTCATCAGTCTTGCAGAGGCTGGAAGGCTCTGGGCTCCGGCCGGATAAGAGCCTGTACAGAACAGATCCAGCCTCTTGCACAGATCATGGGGGGGAGGGGGCATGAGCCCTGGGGGTCTGGCTTGGGGCACTCGTTAACAGAGACTTAATTGTGAACAAGTCCCACCTGACCCCTGTCTCTTCATGGGTGGCACTGACCTCTTCTGCACCGTAAGATCTTTCCTCTGCATCCTAATCAGACCCGGTGGTTCAATGCCCTCCACTGGGACCAGTTTCCTCAGGAATCTGGGCACGTGCCTGTCTTTGCTCCATGCCCAGATCTGCACTCAAGGTGGGGCACTGAGTCCCCCAGCTGCTAAAGAGTATGAAGAGCTCAGATGCTGTGGGGCGCTGGATAACGGGGGTAGGAAGATATCCAGAGGCTCTGATGAGAACTGGGATCCTATTGTGCCTATTCTGTTTGTGTCCTGCTAGGAGTGAGATCTGCACGCCGCCATCTCTACCAGCCAAGATACAGCCTGCCGGACCCAGCCGGGTTTCACTAGGTGCCGTCAGAGAGGCCACCGTGTTTGTTTTCTCCCACCTTTGGGTGTAAGAGAATTAGATCCCTGAGTTGAGACCGTGGAAAAGTCACAGAGCTGAGCTCCCTCTTGCCCTGCCCCTTGCACAATCGTTCGCGCTAGTGCAAGACCCCAACCTAACCTGCATGAGATATAGGGTAAATCAGGAGAATCAGGCCAGTGGTTCTCAACCTATTTAGACTCCACACCCCCTTTGAGAAGGCCAGCTCTCAGTTTTCACTGTGGCACCCTTAAAAGGATCTCATTGCACCCCAGGGTGCTGTGAATCCCAGGTGAGAATCACCGCTGTTAGTCTGGGGGAAAGGGGAGGGAACCATGTATCTGTGCAAGTGCTGGGGGGGTCAGGAATGCAGCAGGGAGCCGGGAGGGCCATGAACAGCTCACTCAAAGCAGACCCTGCCAGAGCGGGGAATATTTTGTTCGTTGGAAAACACAAACTATAATTGACTGGATGATTGGCAAAGGTGGGGCCAACAAGCCAAAGACTGCAAGGCAAAATCCTCCCAGAACCCAAAATGCCTCAATAGTCCCAGCATCGCATTGCACCAGGTTCTGGGTTTTCACTTCCAAACCGCACTGGACCGAAATGCAGCCCTACGTGTATTTTCAGCCAACATGAAGGTAACGCCAGGAATTCAAGCCAGGCTATAAAGGCTTTTCCCTTTACACCAAAGCAAGATTCCAGGGGTGGTGGGTGGGTGGCAATAAACCCTTTTCCCTTCTCTATTTTCATTTTCATTTGTTTGGCGGGGTCAGTAGGAATCAGTCGTCCCCCCAGCTCCGATCGAGACAGAGCTCTGAGAGAGAGATGGCAAAGGGAATTAGCAAACTCGGTGGTCACCGCGTTGGTGGGGAGGTGGCATGGATGGATGGTGGCCAGCTGTCTTGCCCAGAGGTTAGGCTTCTGAGCTCTAAAGAAATCCAGCTGGTTTTGCAGCTGGGAATACACAGGGTTAATCAACACTAGTGCTAGCCAGTAAGGAAGATGGCATGAAATGCTGAACCCTGCTTCTATCCCAATGCGGGGGACAAGCAACATGGGCAAGGGACTTGATTCTCTGCTCAGCCCTGAGCTTTGACCAGCAGCTTGAGCCAAAGTGGTGATCCCACCAAAGTAGAAACGGGGAACCTGACTGCCATG